GAATATGAATACTTACTTAAAGTGTGTACTGTGTCGTGGGTGCGTTTACAAACATACAATTCCACATGCACATCACACACAGACCCGGAACAACAATTTGTGGATTACACAAAGAGTTGTTCCGTGCGGGAATTGAACCCGCGACACGTTGCACGGCAGCCAGTTGCCCAGCCACCGCGCCAACCGTGCAGTCAATTATCAATCAGTAATTTAAAAAATAATCAGTAATTTAATTTAAAAAGCTAAACAAACGAAAAAGAAAACCTTGAAGTAACAATTAATATCTTCAACAAACAAAGAGACATAATAAATTTAGCGGTAGTTCTTAATGGTCCAATAAATATACTTGGATTTAAGTCGAGTAGATTTCTGGCTATTTCAATGACTTTATAATATATCATAAAAATGTGCAGTATAGATACCTAATTATAAAAGTGTAAGAGTAAATAATATAAGTCGAATTTCTAGAGGTTTCCATTTTATTGGACTGTTCTTTAGGCTTTCAACCTGACTTCACCTACTTAAGCTTATAAAGGTCTTCAATTATTTAAGACGGATTCTTTAAGACGCTATAAATGTTAGGTCATGGTGGCCTGTGAGTTGAGGATCCCGCTTTTCGTAGATGAGGGTGCCGGTTCGAGTAAGTACCTAAGTCCTGTCTAATTGTATTTAGACAACATTACTTTGCTACTTTACTTAGTGTTTTGGCACCGAGTTGTCGTTTCTGACATACCGCTGCTAAACCCTCGATGGTTTTTGCTGGTATGTATATACAAGTTATAATATGATTGTATCAATGTTGTTGTTTAATAAACGGAAGAAAAAAAAAAGTAAATGCCCACACATTGTTTTTTGTATAACCTCCTATATGTTACGTAAGTCGCGTACCGTTCCTAGCCTCAAAGAGCCAATAGACCACCACAGACGGGGCCCTATAGGGCTGATGTTCAGCCGGGGTTGCGGGGTAAGCGCAATGAGGCACCGCGACCTCGGCCTAAAGCAGGAGAAGGAACGGGGGGGTTTTTAGCCAGTAAGAGTCTGACACTTTCTCTCGCCTCACCCTGGGCGGGAGAAGTCATTTGATGATATTCCCCTAACAAAATTGAAGTAGGTATCGTGTCAAAACGAAATAATATTGAAAATATGTATTTACATTACTGACATATTTAATGCTTTCAAAATGTACAGTAATCGTTTTGATCATAAAATATAGTAGTTAAACTGTACTTTAACTGCCCAAGGTTATGTTAAGTTCGAAGCCTTTGATTTTAAAACGGTAGTTATAGTTATATTTCTTAGTTTACCCTTTACTAAGTAGGTTGGGGTCGACCAGCTGTTTCTCTCAAATTTGTAAATGTGAGTGCCCTGTAACCTATTACAATTGTTTAGACTAGCAGAATGTCGGTCCTTATATAACAGCTTGGAGTTGTCATGCTCACTGAAAGGTCACACTGGCGGTGGCATGGGCGCTGGATCGCTTAATTCCCTATAATATGGTTGAGTTGGGCGATGCTGGTGTACGTGTCATGTTCGTGAACGGGCGCCGTCAGTTGGGACTGGTCAGCTCCAGACTGTCTATTGTCCTTAAGGTTACTTTTTTTATATTTGAATAAATATTAGTGTTACACTGTTCTCACATAATTGAACCAACTGTTTGTATAAGGAATCTGTATGTGAAACTGATTTAAAAAGAGTAACCATGGGGTTTCTTGCTCGTTCTTCTCCATCGGAATCTACACTTTGGAACGAGCAAATAGCTTCACTAAGAGGACTGACCGACAGACTGACACTATATCTTCAAAATTTTTGTTTGACGTCCAAAAGTGCCTGTAAAGGTCTAATTGGAATAAATGATTTTTGACTTTTGACTTTTTTGACTTTTATTGTTATGGAGTCAGAAACGTGATAGAACGACAAACGAGTATATTTCCTGATGTTAAGCAATCGGTGCCGCCCATGGGTCATAGTAGAGGAGTAACGAGTGCGTTGCCGCCCTTTCGGAGATTAGAATTCGGAGATTTAAGGATACGGGAAAGGGAAAAATGATTGGAAAAAGTAAGATACAGTTATTTGAATAATTTAATTGGAATTGAATTCAAAGTATCGTTAGTCGAGCAACTCAAACCCACAAAACACGTACATACATAATCAGTCTATAAGTGCCCACTGCTGAGTAAAGGTCTCTTCTCACACGGAGAAGGTTTGAGCATTAATCACCACCCTATCTTAATGCGGGTTGGCGATTTCAAACTTATAATTTGTTAACAAAAGACGTGAAAAAAAGGAGTTAGTAACCATGGAGTTTCTTGCTCGTTCTTCTCCATTCTCATCTCATCTACACTTTGCACTTGCTGCCTATAGGTCGTAGCGTGATGTTTTAGAGTTCATAGCCTTCTTCGATAAATGAACTAACAAACACAACAAGAATTGTACAATTCGAACCAGTAGTTCCGGGGATAAGTGCGTTCAAACAAACAAACAAACTCTATAGCTTTATAATATTCTATGATTCTATTATCTATGATGTATAAAACTATACTACTATACTATATATAGATACGTTGTCCACACTTTAAAATGACAACATGAACTGTGGCTAATTAGCCACATTGCGGTCAGTCACGCACCAACCCGTCGCGCAACACTACGTTCCTTTGTTTTAAATTAATATCGTGTATAAAAACCTGTGCAGTACAAAGAGCATGTTTGCGTATGTTTTCAGAGGAGGTTCCATTATACCCCAAAATTTAAAGACAAAAATGTGTAATTTCATCCGTTTTACGAAACAACATAATTTTGTTTTATTCTGTTCGACGCTGCGTCTAATGGCGGCCGCCGCATGACGTTTGTCACGTGCGTTTTGGGGAGTTTAAGACACTAGTTTTTTTGTTGTAATTGTAACATATTTATCTCTTTTTGTCATTGTATTAGATAGTATATATAGATGATAACATCCATTAAATAGTGGAGAAATTTAGTATCTACATTACACCCGAGCGAAGCTGGGACGGGTCGCTAGTATATTATATTTTAAATCTATCATTGAATACTACGCTTCCTGATTTTAGTAACATTTGTCATAGTTTAAGTTAGTTAATATTAATAAATCATGTTGGAAACATAATTATGTTTCTGTTGACAGATAAATGATGATGATGATGATCTTGCCAAGAATCGGAATAGAACACTGGAATTCTGTTTTTGATTTAGCATTTAAATTGAATAAAATAAAATAAGACAATTTATAGAATCAGGCGTTACTTTGCGGAAATCCATGACATTAAATGTTAGGGAAAATATTTAATTTTAATTCCGCGACAAAAAACCAGGCTTGTTGCAGGATGCAATCCCACTCCTATGCAATCATGCATATGCACATGCAGCAAGGGTAACATGCATATGCACACATACACAAAACGAAAAAACATGCCACGCAATACAGGCTTGTTGCAGGATGCAATCCCACGGAAAATGCCACGTAATCAAACCTATATATATTACCTATATATTATAGTATTATAGAATTTTTAAATGACTCCTTGTGTTAGTAAATGAAATAATTAAATAATAAATATAAATTGATAATGTAATGATATGTGTATGTAACTAATATATTGTTGATCTTTAGAATTTGATGTAACATAATGTATAAGTGTAAATGTACTCCTATAATTTGAATCTATTTGATAAAAAAAACTTTATCTAATATTTGCACGCCTTGAGATGGGCAGACATGTCATGCTCACGCCTATTTATAATATCTTTCATGCATGTATTATTTTAATTCTGTATGTATACACATGTTTAAGCAAATAAAATTTCTATTTCTATTTCTATTTCTATAGGATTGCATCCTGCAACAAGCCTGGATTTTTGTCGCGGAATTAAAACTATATATTTTCCCTAACATTTAAAATAAAATAATATAATATACAAAATACAATATAGCAGCAGCTAAGTGTGGGAGAGCCATGCTTCGGCACGAATGGGTCGGCTCGACCGGAGTGATACCACGGCCTCACAGAAAACCGGCATGAAACAACCACAGCGTTGTGTTTCGCCGTGTGAGTGAGGTTACCGGAGACCCAATCCTTCCCCTCTCCAATCCCTAAATCTCCAAAACACTAATCCCTAAGAGGTCGGCAACGCACTCGTAACTCTTCCATTGCGGGTGTCCCTAGGCGGCGCTGATTGCTTACCATCAGGTAATCCGTCTGCTCGTTTGCCGGTCTATTACATAAAAAAAGCAATATCTTTTCACCTATAATTAAATAACTTAACTACTTCTTTCGTAATGTCAAAAAAAAAAACGATAATTTTACACGCATACCTACTCAATACTCTTGTTTTTTTTTAATTCATCACGTCTTCGTCAAGCCCCTGTAACTCTCTAACAACCTCCAATAAGCTGTCAACGCACTGGTTACCCCTCCAATGTTATAGGTGTCCATGGGCGGCGTCGACTGCTTACCATCAGGTAATAGTAAAGGTAATAGTAAAAAAAATAATAGTATTTTATAGTAGTATTTTTACCTACTGGTGAATTATCGCAGCATATGCTGAGATAGTGGCCTTTTTGACCTCGCACAGGTCTTATATTTTATTTTTTATTATTTTTTGTTGTTGTTTTGTTTATTTTTTCTTTGTGTATTTATAAAATGTAATTGTAATTTTATTTATTTTCTGTGCGAGTCTCAAATAAATGTTTTCTTTCTTTCTATAATAGTAAAGGCAAAAAAGACTCCTTAGGTACCCGCCAGCGCGCTAGTAGCTTCTTGTTGAAACAGCGAATTTTTTAATTAAATTATTCTCTTAATCTCATTTGTTTTCGTTTATTTATTTTGATTACTGAAGGCCACTTAATTATAGTACACATGGGATTAAAGTTATCACGGTGCCAAGTTTTTTTTTAATCCTTTCAGTACTTTTAGCGTTAAATAGTACCGTACATACATTTATTTCGTAAGAAGGCATGCAATAAAGTATAAAAAAACACTTACCGTTTTAAAACCTCTATACATGACGCGAATCTCCTGTTTCGAAAACTTGGTCTGCCGGCACAGCTCCTCCAAGGCAACTGGAACTGGTTTCGGAGTCCTACTCGGCTCCAATTCATACGCGTGCTCCTCCACGGGAGATTCAGGTGGAGTCGCCATTTTGCCAATTCAATATGTAATTAAATCAACTTTCAAAAGTTATTATAATTTTCTCGAAATCATTGTTAAATTTTTCTATTGCGTACGAACTCTTTGGCAGAATCTCTTTTCTATGTCACTTGGCTGTTTTTTTTTATTAGCTGTGGTGCGTTTGACAGTTCATTTTGGCGGGAGTTTTGACGTCTTGCGCTGTAACAAAGAAAAATAAAATAATGTTAGCATGTTTGTTAATAATTAAAATCACATCATCAGCATATAAGTAAATGCCCACTGCTGAGCAAAGGCCTCTTCTCACACGGAGAAGGTTTGAGCATTAATTGAGATGATTGGCATTAATTGGAATTAACGATGTTATCCTGCACCGTACGTCCAAATTGCTCAAATAACTATCAGACCACCACAGTTATAAGGTGGACCATACGGTGGCGGTGTGCCCTGATTGGGCTGAGCGATATCTCGCGCCCCTCACTCGAGGCTATGGTTCGTAGCGAGAGGAACTGGGAAGCCGTCTCCTCTTTCTGCGAAGCAGTGATGCTGGCAATATCCAGAAGCGGTTGCGGGCGCAAGCCTAATAAGGTATCGCGGTCCTGGCCGTCGCCAGGAGAAGGTACGGGGTGGCTTTTAGTCAGCCAAGTAGGTGCTTACTGTTTTTTTTTCGAGGTGGAAAACTCATTGAATGACATCTACCGACCGGGTGGGATGAGAGCCCCTTTTTTCTAGATAGAGATTTTCTCAAAATAAGCTACTGTCTCTGACACAACACTGTGATTGTTTCACGCTGGTATCCTTGTAAGACCGTGGTATCACTCAGGTCGATGATACACAAAATTGTAAATAAGTACCACTTTTAGAATGTTTGAAGACAGATATACGAGTTGTTTCAGTCTAGTTGTGTCTAATTAGTACTTGGCAGTTCATTGCATTCTGTCGTTCGCAAGCCAAAATGTAAATTATATGTAACATGTTATTTGTCGGTCTTGTCCCTGTTGCTCTAGTCAAATGCGCAAATGAAGATAAAGAGGTTTTGTGGGTGCTGGTTCAATAATGTGCAGCGGTTCGTCGCGGAGCAGGATAAGGAACAGGGTGGTTTTCAGTCAGTAACGGCCAAAACCAGGCGTTTTTAGTCTCGGGTACGCTGTTATAGCAGCGGTAAGACCCCTACTTGAGGAGTGGCTTGAGAGACGCCACGGCGTCCTCACCTTCCGCCTGACGCAGGTCCTTACCGGGCACGGCAGCTTCGGTAGGTTCCTGTTTCGGATCCAGCGGGAGGAAACGCCCAAATGTCGTCATTGTAAGGACCACCTAGAGGGCACGGTGGAGCATACGGTTGCGGAATGCCCTGCTTGGGCTGAGCACCGCCGTGTTCTCGGGGAAATGATCGGCGGAGGCGATCTCTTGCGCCCGGCCTTAGTCGGGGCCATAGTTCGTAGCGAGAGGAACTGGGAAGCCGTCTTCTCTTTCTGCGAAGCAGTGATGCTCGCAAAGGAGGGGGCGGAGCGCGTGAGGGAACTATCCTGCTCAGGCCCCAGCCGCCGCAGTAGGCGACATTCCGGGCGTCGAAACCGAGAAATGATCTCCGGCCACCATAAGCGCAGGTCTGCGGACGGCGACTAAAGGTAGCTCGCCGCCCGACCAGAACCAGACCCGAGCGTTCCGCGCGCGTCTTAAAGAGCCAATAGACTACCACAGACGGGGCCCTATAGAACTGATGTTCAGCCGGGGTTGCGGGGTAAGCGCAATGAGGCACCGCGACCTCGGCTCAGAGCAGGAGAAGGAACAGGGGGGTTTTTAGTCAGTAAGAGTCTGACACTCTCTCTTGCTTTACTCTGGGCGGGAAAAGTCACGAGATGATTTGATCCTGACAAAAAAGGCTTATTTAGTCTAGTTCTAAACCATTGAGCCAGTTTTTGTATTTCGAACTGAAGATAGGTGACAATAAAATTCAAAATTCAAAACCAGACTCAATGGTTTAAAGCTAGACTAAAGATAAATCTTGTTTTGTAATAAGGGGATGAGAGTCTGACATTTTTTCTCTCGCTCAACCCAGGACGGGACAGGCCATTTGATAATCCCACAAAAAAATAAAAGTTCAAGGAGATATCTTAAATGCAAGTCAACACCGACTGGCTATCTTCTTCAAACTGATACGGGTTTCGCCTTCTTCCATCCTTCTCCTGCATCCCTCGCCAAAACCTCCATTAATTTTAAATCCTTAACAACCCTAAAAGGCCCGTGTCGTATACGCAAAATTTTAGGAGAGCCAAGCTTCGGCACGAATAGGTCGGCTCAACCGGAGTGATACCACGTCCTCACAGAAAACCGGCGTGAAACAACCACAGCGTTGTGTCTCGCCCTGTGAGTGAGGTTATCGGAGACCCAATTCCTGCCCCTACCCCAGTCTTCCCAGTCCTTAAATATCTGAAACCCTTACCCAAAAAGGCCGGCAACGCACTCGTAACTTTTTTGGTATTGCGGGTGTTCATGGGCGTCGCTGATTGCTTACCATCAGGTAATACGTCTGCTTGTTCGCCGACCTATTCCGTAAAAAATACACCTGCTTTCATGTTGTAGGTGGCAATGAAGCGTCCATTGCTAACCTACAAATCTATATATTATATTAATTATAATATTAATTTATAAAAGAAAGTCGTGTTAGTTACTCCACTTATAACTCAAGAACGGCTGAACCGATTTAGCTGAAAATTGGCAGGGAGATAGTTTAGAGCTAGGAGAAGGACATAGGATAGAGTAGGTAGTGTAGGTTAGGTAGAGTGGGTAGATAGAGTAGGGTAGGTAGAGTAGGGTAGGTAGAGTAGGGTAGGTAGAGTAGGGTAGGTAGAGTAGGGTAGGTAGAGAAAGGTTGATAGAGTAGGGTAGGTAGTGTAGAGTGCGGTAAGAAGAGTAGGGTAGGTAGTGTAGAGTGCGGTAAGTAGAGTAGGGTAGGTAGAGTAGGGTAGGTAGAGTCGGGTAGGTAGAGTAGGGTAGGTAGAGTAGGGTAGGTAGAGTAGGGTAGGTAGAGTAGGGTAGGTAGAGTAGGGTAGGTAGAGTAGGGTAGGTAGAGAAAGGTTGATAGAGTAGGGTAGGTAGTGTAGAGTGCGGTAAGTAGAGTAGGGTAGGTAGTGTAGAGTGCGGTAAGTAGAGTAGGGTAGGTAGAGTAGGGTAGGTAGAGTCGGGTAGGTAGAGTAGGGTAGGTAGAGTACGGTAGGTAGAGTAGGGTAGGTAGAGTAGGGTAGGTAGTCAAATGACAGGAGCGACGCCGTGGGTAACAGCTATTATAAGTTATTATACATACATTAGTATAAACCTTCATATGTTTCTGTGATTCATATTTATTTACACTGATAACAATCTGGCCTCACAAGCCTGTTCGTGTTTTTATTTCAAAACAGATTACATGGTTATTCGAGTCGAAAGCGTGAAAATTTCGCTATGGTGATTAGTGGTGAAAAATGATTTATGACTTGGCGCCCAACGTGGGACCGCTGTAGTCGGAAAAATGTTTTCTTTTTTTATGCAAATCGCGGTTGGCTGGCTTTTATCAACGTTGCCATAGTTGTCCTGGATGGAACTTATATCACTGCGGGATGATTTTTTCAAAATGTATGTGTTTTTTGAGCATTTTTTCTTATTTGGTAATAGGTATAGGCTATCTCGTCATTATTTAACAAACAGCATAACAAAACACGTGAGATAAGTTCTATGTTTCGTCCGTGTGAGTGCGGTTACCGGAAGCCCAGTCCTTTTTCCCCTCCCCAAATCCCTAAATTACCGAAATCCTACCCCACAAAAGGCCGGTAAAGCACTCGTAACTCCTCAGGTATCGCGGGTGTCCACGAACGGCCTCGTTTGCTTACCATCAGGTAATCTGTATACTCGTTTCCCGACCTATCACATAAAAAAATTATATTCTTATGCAACATTCAATATGAGTCCTAAATGTGGCTTGAAATTAGTCGAGTTCCTCGCCTAGCAATGAAATGAGGAAGCCGATAAAGAAAATTATTAATTTAACTCACTATCGAAAATTACATAAACGGTTCAAGTAAGCTATGCATTGCATTGTAGCCTAGCGCACGCCGCTTCGCACAAGTGCAATATTGATACTAAATTTCTCCACTATTTAATGGATATTATTATACATATAAACCTTCCTCTTCAATCACTCCATCTATTAAGAAATCGCATCAAAATCCGTTGCGTAGTTTTAAAGATTTAAGCGTACATAGGGATATAGGGACAGAGAAAGCGACTTTGTTTTATATTATGTAGCGATGTGCACTCTGCTCTCTTTTTACAATTGTGTAGTTTCCTAGGTCAAAAATAAATTAATTCGACGTTTTAATACAATAAAATATTGAAAAATAACTATTGATACTTTTATTCGTCAATCGATCGATACAATAAATTTTATATTTATTAACTAATTTTTAAGAAATAAGTAAGCTATTTGACGCCAAAATACTATGACGTCATAACTCAGGGTTTCATACAAATTTCATAGAAAAGTATCGTTTTCGACATTTGGATAAAAGTATTGAATTTGACTATAGTCAGAATTTTAATTCGATTCCTGATTTGACATGTCCTATTGTCATTTTGTGAAATAATGATACCATATATAACAGTGTAGTGATGAACACAAAAATCGATAAACAATCAGTGAATCAGTTTCAGGAAGGCATTCAAAAAATTACGGCTACCGTATGGTCTAAATGCGTATCCCATGTTGTCAAAGAAGAGGAAAAAATGAGTAAACTATATATGTTAATTGACAATAAAAATCACAGACACAATTCATAATAAATGTTACAGAAAGTAAAAGCGATGACGGCGACAATTTATAAAATTTCTGTTTTATTTTTCATGTTCCTTCATGATCACATTTTTTATTAATTTCACACACAATTAAAACCGAAAAGTCTCAGATCGTTAATTAATTGTCAAAAAAAAATTATCGGTTCAGAAATATTTTATTACCTGATAAATTTAGTTTACGAGAT